AATTGCAAAGACTTAGTTAAGGTCGGAGTTCATGATTCAACAATAAGAAACAGACTGGGCAAACATGACATCCACGGGAGAGTTCAAGGAGAAAACCACTGCTGACCGAAAAGAACACAAAGTTTCATCTCACATTTGCCAGAAAACATCTGGATCATCCCCGAGACTTTTGGGAAAATGTTGTGTGGTCTGACGAGACAAAAGTTGAACTTTTTGGAAGGTTAGAGTCCCGCTACATCTGACATAAAGCTAACACAGCATTTTCTAAAAAGAACATAAAACCACCATGGTGGTGGTGACTTAAATCAGACGGAAGCGCTTTGGCAAGACCTTAAAAGACTATGGAGGATTTTCATGGTTGGAAATCGTCCAATGTGCCTGAATTTAAACAATTCTGCAAAGACGAGTGGGCCAAAATTCCTCCACAGTGATGTGAATGGTTCATTGCCAATCACTTGATTGGAGTTCTTGCTGCTGAAGATGGCACAACCAGTTATTAAGTTTAGGGGAAATTACCTTAGGTAGGTTTGGATAACCTTTTTACCCTTAAATGAAATCGTCATTTAAAGACTGCACTTTGAATGTATTCAGGTTATCTTTGTCTAATATTAAAATCTTAAGTTTGACAAATATGGAAAAAATAAGAACTCGGGAAGGGAGAAAATACTTTTCATGCAACCGTGTCCATGTATCAGTTGTTGCTTTCAGATGACTGTGGCGGCCATTTATTTGGCCTGTGACAGCAAGCAGCGCTCCTGCGGTCACAAAGGTTTTCTCCAGCACAGCAACATTCACGCTGAGCTGCTGAGGCAGCAGGCCATAGTTCGTCTGATGCCAGGTGGATGGACAGTAAGCGCAGATAAAACAGAGCTGAAGCTACCTAAATATAAGTATTATATAAACTATAATGCGTATTTATATTGGGGGAATGGGATTTTCGCACATAGCTCTCCCACAGACTGTAATAAATACATTTTTTGGGCAATGTTGTGTGTGCTTATAAATGACAAATTCTTCACATTGAGAATTATCAAAACTTTGCAGGTTTTTGTTTCTAAATACAAACATAATAGGCTACATACAAATACAATATCAATGTCTATAAGCAACACCGGAGAGGAACAAGGTCAGAAAGCAACACCACTCCTGCCAAGTAAATTTGGACGTTACACATCTCCACATGTATATAAATATACTTTTATTATAAAATTGCTCGCGCAGTTTCATTTCTTAGATCTTTTCGTGCCCCATTGATGAGACGTCGCCCTCGCTAGCTCGATTGATTCAGAACCAGATTTAAAAATGGGCACTTTTGTTCTGCAGGCTCTTCTGGTGGACGAGATAAGAGAACGTGCGAAGGCCTTTGAACCAAAGAGCTTCAATGACAACTTCAACTGACCTTTTATATTCCGCTCTGCATTGAAAGCTACAATTTCCTTTTTGTTTTCCCCTGTCAACCCAGCAGCCCACTCCCATTTAATGTCTTTGAGCTATATGTGTGATGTTCCGCCTTAACACGCCAGTCTGATGTTCCAGATTTTTTTCTCTAACCTGTTGCTGCACCCTCCCACTCTGTGTCTTTGCTTGGCAACCCTTTACCAGGCCAGCTGCTGCTGCCCTTTCCTTTCTTCGTGTTGAATTCTAATCATTACTTTCAAAGGAAAGCGTCTCTAAAGCTCCTTTATCGAGTGTTTGTACCGGGAGGAGGGAAGCCGTGTCCAACACCCACTCTGACTGCTCCTTTTCTTCTTAACACTTGTGTTCTGCAAATCAGGAGCACTTTCCGTCTGTAATCTGCTTCTTCAAGTCTGGAAAAAAAGTAACGTATGGAAGAAGACGGTAAGGAGCACTTGTGCACTAAGTGCTCTCCTGGAAATGACTGGCTGAAGTCATAAAGGAGGTAAAGGTAAGCTGCTGCAGATGCCTTTTGTTTATAAGTGACTATTTATTATATATTCAGAGGTTTATTTAAGGGTCTACCATTTGATTGAGTCTGTTGATGGATAGTTGGCTGGATGGATATGCACATTTTTGTATTGTGAATTTAGATTTTATTCAATTAATCAACAAAATCATATCCTTAAAAATTTGAAATGGTCTAACTTCTTCTACAACTAAAATTCAACCCTGTAAAAGGAGGAAAAAAAGAGAAAACCAAACCTTTAAAGATACTAATGTAACTCCGAATCTATATCTGTAGTTATATAGCTATAGTGTAATGTAGTGTGTGAGTCTGCTCAGTATTATTATCTGAGGCTTTCTGATTTTGATGCGCAGTAAATAAACATGAGCGGGGGTTCACATCTGCTTGTGACAGATCCTTAGAAAAAAAACCTTAGATTTTTTTAATCTAGTGTCAGATTGCCTTGAATAACTATTTTAAAAAGCAATAAGTTTAAAAAAAATCTATTAGACTGAATTTGAAGATTTATTTTTGATGAACTTTTTTTCCTTTCATGCTGAACAAATGGCCTCATTAAAGCTAAAGATTCCTAAATGACAGAAGAGTTGTGAAACATCTTATTTCTGGAGTCAGTCGGTATCGATTTCTTTGTTTGTGGAAAGTTCATCTACTTAAGTAGCCTATGGTACTTCAGGATTGATTATTTACACCTTATTACTATGCTGTAATTTTTCACAACCACTCAGTTGTATACAATGTGAAACTTGCCACATTAATTTGACAGCTTTAGTTATTTCTCCGTGGTTGTAGTGCAGAACCACCTTCAGCTGAAATAATTTGAAGTAATCATTTATGAGTCTCTCACATCGCTGTGGAGGAATTGTAAACCCATAATTCTTTACATTGTTGAGTCACTTCATTGAAGTTTGCCTTCATTTGTTTTCACTGTGTTCTCTTAAGATCCCTTGACAGCATTTCAGTTGGGTTGAGGTCTGGATATTGACCGGAGCATTGCAAAATCTTGATTCTTTTATTTTTTGTAGATTTGCTGCTGTGCTTGTGATCACCGTCCTCTGAACGATGCTGTTTCTGTGAGACAGAATTTGCCCCGTTTGTCACCCCTCCACCAGCATGTTTGACAGTTGGTGTGAGGTGTTTGTGTTGGTATGCTGTATTTGTTTGTCTCCAATTGTGGTGCCGTACATTATGGCTAAACATGTCTACTTTGGTCTCGTCTATCCAGAAGACTGAAACTTTCAAAAAAGCTACGCTTGTTCAGTTTTTTCTAATTGTGCACTCTAACGCAGGGAAACTGTCAAACTCATTTTACACTGAGGCCCACATACAGCCCACTTTGATCTTAAGTGGGCCGGATGAGAGAAACTTTCACTTTCTGTTGGTGTAAAGACGTTTAACTACACATCTTATCCCTGACATGTTTAATATAAGATAAAGAAGTGCATTTTCAACAGTACATCTCAGTTTTCCTACATGATTAAATTGTAAAATTACAAAAATATTTTTAGTACATCCCTACCCAGACTGTCCTGTATTTATAAAACGTACATTTTTGATTTTCCAAAGCTATCCAGTGGACCAGATTGAAGTCATTGCAAGGCTGATTCTAGCCCCCAAGCACGATGTTTGACACCTCTGCTGTAACATTTAACATGCTAACTGAGGCCTGCGCATTGCGCAGTCTGACCTTTGGCACAAGACTGTAGATTATAATGTTCTGTCAACACACACCTGAATACTCCAGACCAACAACCTGCCAAAACATCTGCTTTTATAGAGGTGCTCACACTTACTGATGAGTTAATTAACTGGATTTGATTAAAAGCATCTTTCTGTGACTTACTTTCCAATTGCTATGCAAGCAGTAAGGGGGTAATTAGTTAACATGACTGTATAAGTAAGTCTGACCACTTGCAACATTCAAATCATGTTCACATTGAAATATCCCTCTTCATCTGTCCATCCACCCATACATCCATCATATCTGTCTTCCTGCATAATCAATAATGTTTGAATGTATGAACTCCTTCTGCAGTTGAGTCTTTTCACCACTTCTTGAACTTTGAGGGGGAAAATAAATAAATAAACCAAAGTGATCAGTGTAAATGTTTTCAGTTATATTTCAGGATCTTTGTTTCATTTCTTGGTGACATTTCAAAAATGATCAGTGTATGGTGTCATTTCAGCCCTGCATTGATGCCATGAGGCTGATTCTGGTTAAACCCACCAATGCAACGCGGCGCCTTGACTCAACAGGTGAAGTCTTCCACGAAGGTGGCCATGAGCATTGTACCTCAGGATGCCCATCCCCTCCCATAAAGACCCCTGAGGGGAAGCATGATCCATACAGAGGAACCTCGGTTGAGACACCTTTGACCCCACAGGAGAAAAGCCAGTGCTGTGTCTCATCTTCACCCCATGAAACATGCAATGGACTCGGCCCTCCAAGAGGTTCAGCCCAGATGTCGCCACTCAAAACTCGAAACCTAACCTTATCGCAGCTAAGCGATGAGGACTGGCTGCTCCTTTGTGGCCATGTTGGCAACGCAGGAGATGAGTCGCCCTCAGCAGAAAGAGCAGGCACCAGTGTGGGACATCCAAACCACAATGACAGATGTAGATGTCCCGGTCCTGATGCCTCTAGTTTTCAGCCACAGTCAAAACAGGACAGGGTCCAAGACTGCCTTCCCAGGGTAACAGCTAAGAGAAGCCTTTTATGTTCACCACATGTTCAGCCTTTCTCTCCCAGCAGCCACATTTCAACTACTTGCCAGGTTTTACCACAGCAAACAAACCAAAGTGAGCTTTTGAATCCTGCAACAAACCGTCTCAAAGATCATTTCATGCCTCAGTGCACTAACCAAGAAGGTGGAAAAGAACAGCCCTGCAATCATTATAAACTGAAAGACAGCAGCCAAGCAACAAATTTGTTCAACATTCCTCTCGACTCAGTCGAGTGTAAACAAAAACTCCAAAAGCAGCCTCATCCTGCTGCTGGTGCAGATGTCAACTGGAGAGACCTTTTCGGTAAAGAGCCGCTGTTAGTTCAGCAACAGCGAAAGCAAGAGTTCCACTGCCTGATCGCAGGCGATCAAACATCTGGAGATCCGTCCACCATCTTCAAGTGCCACCACCTCCCTCACAACTCCCTGACAAGCCAAATAAAAAGATCGTCTACACCAGTCGGCAACAAAAGTGTCACATCTTTCTCCATCAGTCAGTATAGTTCCCTAGAGATTCAAGATTTAATGGATGAGAAAACAAGACAGCGACAAAGTCAGGTGCATGTTTTGATTCGGCTGCTTTAAACATTTAGTTTTCATACTTAAATTGGAACCATCAAAAGTAGGTTTAGCTAACCTGTGTGTTTCCATACCGTGCCAATTCTAACTGAACCATACACTGTAACATGCTTTCAGATATATTACATGCTTGTTGTTGACAGTCTTATTTTATTTTGCAGACAGTCTCTCAAGGGTCTAAAGTCTCCCTTCCTAAACACACTCCTCCGCCTCCCTTACAAAGCAGTGGCATACTTAACGGGGATGCAGTCCGACCCCTGAGCAGCCACGGCACTTTGAGATCTAGTTTTTCAGATCTTCCTTCAGGCCAGCAGCCAATCCAGCTTCTTCACAGTGCCATCCTGGAGGACGCCTTTTCCAAAGTCATCCGAGAAGACTCCAGTAAGACCAACGGTGAGGAAGGTAGCACACCACCGAAGAAGACCAAGGACATCAGCTACAGGCTGGGTCAGAGGAGAGCTCTGTTTGGGAAGCGCAAACAACTGAGCGACTACGCCTTGGTCTGTGGGATGTTTGGCATTATTGTCATGGTCATCGAGACGGAGCTGTCAAGGGGATTTTACACCAAGGTACACTCAGAGCAGAAACACTAGTGTCTCCAAATAAATGTGTTTCAACAAACAAATGAAAGCGGCGTCAACATAGTGCCATTAAAAGTTTTAACTTTGAGGGCCCCCTAAACAGTTTTACTCACAGATGGTCTTCTTTTTATTAGTTTAATAGTTTTGTGTCATTGTCTCTACCATTTACAGGAATCCATGTATTCATATGTTCTAAAAGGCCTGATCAGCCTTTCTACTGCTATTCTGCTGGGACTCATTGTGATGTACCATGCAAGGGAAATCCAGGTATGAAGAAACAAACCATGACTTTGCCAACATGAGCTGTGTAATCATTTGGATCAGATAATTCACGTGAAGTAAGGAAACTAGTCTTAAAACCCCCTGAATTGGAGCATTGGTTTAGCTCAAGGGGTTGAGCAGACAACCCACATACCTGAAATCTCCCCAGAGGCCATTTACTACGTGTCTTTATCCAAGCTCTTCTCTCCACTATCCTATAACGACAAAAGTTAAAATACCCCCAAAAATATATTTAAAATTGTCTCTTTGAGAAACACCAGAAGATAAAACATTCATTTTCATCTCGTCAGAATTATCCAAATTAAGAAAACAAAACAAAAAACTGTAATCCCAACAAAACGAGTTCTTCACTCATTATTCTTTCATATTCACGGTCTAGAAATGTTGCTACTTTTCTTCAACAGCTCTTCATGGTGGACAACGGGGCTGACGATTGGAGGATAGCAATGACTTTTGAGCGACTTGTCTTCATCGTGTTGGAGCTCCTCATCTGTGCCATTCATCCAATCCCAGGGAAATACGTGTTCACCTGGACGACTCGACTGGCCTTCAGCTATGCAGCATCGGTGGCGTACGCCGACGTAGACATCATCCTCTCTGTGCCGATGTTCCTTCGCCTCTACCTGATTGGCCGGGTCATGCTGCTGCACAGCAAGCTGTTCACAGACGCTTCCTCTCGCAGCATCGGTGCGCTCAATAAGATCAACTTTGACACTCGTTTTGTCATGAAGACCCTAATGACCATCTGTCCTGGCACAGTGCTGCTAGTCTTCAGTGTGTCCTGTTGGATCATTGCTGCGTGGACAGTGCGTGTTTGTGAAAGGTATCTTAAAGGGTTTTTTTTGGGGGGTTTTTAATGTGTTACTTAAAAATCATCAAGAAGATTTTCAGCGTTAAACAAATGCTGGATAAAAATGAAAGAAACTTAAAGCAAGGGTAGCCTCTCCAGCTTTAACATAAACTGCTTTTACAGACAGGTGTCATGTTTAAATAGGTATCACGATGCACAGGAAGTAACCAGCACTTTCCTTGGAGCAATGTGGCTCATCTCCATTACCTTCCTGTCCATCGGCTATGGGGACATGGTCCCTCACACCTACTGTGGAAAAGGGGTTTGCCTGTTAACTGGAATTATGGTGAGTTTTATACCAACACAGTGCACATGTAGAGAAGAGGCAGATATGCAAATCACTCACAGTGATTTTTTTCTGAATAACCCCAATTAAATATCTGTTTAAAAATCCTTTAAAATCCTGGCCTACGTGAATGATTGGTGTGGTTTTTATACTAGCTAACTACTAACTAATAACACAGTCATGCTAACACTTCTCTTCTTCTCATCAGGGAGCAGGTTGTACAGCCTTAGTCGTGGCCGTTGTCGCAAGAAAATCAGAACTCACCAGAGCTGAGAAACATGTCCACAACTTTATGATGGATACCCAAATCTACAAAAAGGTGTGTTCTTACACATGCAGGGATTGGACTTTATTTTTAATATTAAGACTACATGACCAGTCTTAAAAGTAACAGCACTTTCTCTTTTTTAACCATATACACTACTGCGCAAAAGTCTTGAGCCACCCTCAATTTCCTCCAATTAGATTTTTTTTAAAGTTGCTCCAACGAGGTGATTCCCAACAATCCCAACAAGGCGATTACTGAAAATTTGTCATGTCTTAGCATGGTATGAAGTGTGAACTTAAGTTTTTGGGATAACAAAAGAACAAGTGGTAGGCCTAAAAAACAAAACTAACAGATGAAATGTATCTCAAAGCAATGTCTTTAAGAAATAGGGCAAAAATCTAGGAAAGAGCTCAGGTGATATTCATCTAGCCTATCATCTAATCATCTACTTTTAAGTGAAGCCTCATCAGAAATGATCTCAGTAGAAAGAGGGTTAATTGCAGCCACGCGTAGAAGTCTTTCTTGAGGAAGAGAAATGAGGAGAAAAGACTGAAGTGTAACAAATTTAACAAGAACTGGACTAAAAATCAGTAGAAACAGATTTTATGGAGTGATTAACCCAAATTTGAAATTTTTGATTTAAAGTGTCATCGATATATTCAGCAGAGGTCAGTAGAGAGGTACAACAGTGAGTGTCCACAGCCATCTGTTAAGCATGGTTGAGGCTCGGTCATGGCTTGTGGCTGCAATTCAGCCAGCAGTCTTGTTAAAACTGATTGAATTATGAAAGGCAGAAAAGTACCATCCGATTTTGATACTATCTGGAAAGCATGTGATTCATTCTTCAGCATGACAATGATCCCAAACACAATACAAATGCACTAAAAAAAAGTGAACAATAGAAGTGGAACAATATCATACTTTGGCTTCCTCAGAGCCTGGACCTCAACATTATTGAAACAGTGTGGGATCATCTTGATAACAAAAAGCAGCCAACATCTAAAGGAGAGGTTTAAAAGTCTGTCAAGAGGCCTGGAGAAATATTTCTAAAAGATTCTCAAAGAAGATGTGAGAAAGTTTGCCTAAAGCCAGTTTAATCTCTGTTGTAGAATTAGCATTGTCATACTAAATGTTGACTTTTCAGGTCATTAGAAATGTACAAACTCTGTTTATTCTTTAAACACTGCATTTCCGTGCAGGTTTTCACAGAAAAACATAAAGAAATGAGGGATTGCTCAAGACTTTCCTATAGTACTCAGGCTCATTTTAGTTTCTGTTTGACTTAAGCTTCATTTATGTCTCTACATTTCTGTTTTGCCTTTCCATTGACATACTTCCACAGATCAAGAACACAGCAGCAAATGTGTTGAGAGAGACATGGCTCATTTACAAAAACACAAAGCTGGTCAAGAAGATTGACCATGCCAGAGTACGCCACCATCAGCGTAAATTCTTGCAAGCCATCCACCAGTAGGTATCGTTATGCCACCATCAGGGGTTTCAGTAAATGCTGTTACAGTTTAATTTGGGGCTCTGGATTATGTGAATTAGGATTTACTGCATGTTGCATTTATATTATTGTAGCACAAATGTGACTATAGTTTTGGTTTACAACTTTAGACTGCGACGAGTGAAAATGGAGCAAAGGAAATTAACTGACCAGGCCAATACAGTTGCTGATCTTGCAAAGGTTTGTGCAAACGTTTTTATTTGCCTCAGTTTTACTAATATATAATAGGAAATTTTACCCTCTGACTGATGCTGAGAGTAATTTGACACAAGGAATTGTAATTTTTTATCCAGTATGAACCACATTTTTCATTATCTTTTCTGCATTTTATGACTTTTATAATAATCTAAACAGTGAGAAACCCTGACTTGCTTATCTCCTGATACTTGAAAGTGACCTCAGCATGTCGGTGATGATTTCAGACTCAGAACATGATGTACGATCTGGTATCAGAGCTGCAGCATCGAAGTGGTGAGCTGGACAGTAGGATTGTGGCTCTGGAAGAGAAACTGGACTCCATCCTTCAATGTGTGCAGTCGCTGCCCGTTGTGCTTTCTCAAGCAATAGCAAAGTTACAAAAGGATTTCCTGGATGACTTGGCTTGCCGTGTACACTTCCTATCATCCTCCCTGAGCTCTGAGTGCTGCTCAGTGCCGGCCAAGCAGCTTTGTCCAGGATCCACTGCACCGGAGACACCATACAACTGAATGGCCGTTCCTCAGTGCTTTTACTTTTAGTGTGCAACCGTTTACAATACTGGGATGGACTTTCTCAACATGAACTCTGCTACGTGTTTATTGAGTCATACACATTCACTCCTGGGAGTTGCAGCTGCACCACCAGTGTAAGGGGAAGACCCTTTGTAAGGGGACTTTAGAGGAAAAGGAAAAACATTATTCCTTCATTTCCTCTCCCAAGAGGGGGGACTGTGCAGAAGACAGAGAGATGTTCATGAACGATTAAGAAGTGAAAAAAAGTTTTTAAAAAAAATGCTCATTTTGTTTATTAAAATTAAACTCTAAGACACTCAAATAATCTGAAAGAAAAAAAGCCCTGCATTTCATGGGACACTGTGGTAGTCTCTCTGTGCTTCTCATACGTGATATAGTAAACAGTTTCTGAAGATTTTTAAGTGATTATTTTCAAAAAGTGGCTCAGCATGGGTTTATTTAATGAACTAAACATTTGTAAAATGGAAATCATTACAATGAAAACCGATCAAATACCATGAATAATATTTACTCTAAAACTAATCTAATGACCTGGTTCACAAAGTTTTCTAGAAGCATGTTTGTCACACTTAAATATTTCAGATCATCAAATTTAAACACAAATAGAGACAAAATGAAGTTCCTAAATCAAGGTTTTTATTATTCAGGGGAATAAGTGTGGTGTATCATAACTTTGAAAAGCTGAGTTCAATTTCTCCTGCCAAACCCAGGCCTGATTATTGCCACACCTGTTCTCAATCAGAAAATCACTTAAATAGGATCGCCATTAGTGGGAGTGGGTGGCCAACCAAATTTACCCCAAGAGCGCATCTGTTGGATTGAGTGATGACTCGTCCAAGAGTTGACAAAAGACCACAGAACAACATCCAGAGAACATCAGGCCTCGCTTACCTCAGTTATGGTCAGAGTTCATGACTCCACCATAAGAAAGAGACTGGGCAAACATGGCCTGCATGGCAAAGTTCCAAGAAGATACCTCTGCAGAGCAAAAGGAACTTTTGCCAGAAAATATCTCGATGATCCCCAAGACTTTTGGGAAAATACTCTGTGGACTGATGAGGCAAAAGTTAAAGATTTAGGAAGGTCTGTGTCCCATTACATCTGTCTAAAAGCAACACCGCATTTATGAAAAGGAATATCATAGCAACAGTAAAATATGGTTTTAGGCCTTTTTGCTGCCTCAGGGTCTGGAAGATTTGCTGTGATAAATGAAACCAAGAATTCTGCCATCTACTAAATCATCCTGAAGCAGAATGTCCAGCCATCTTTTTGTGACCTCAAGCCTAAGCGCACTTGGGTTCTGAAGCAGGACAATTATCCAAAACGCACCAGCAAGTCCACCTCTATATGGCTTTGGAGTGGCCTAGGCAAAGTCCTGACTTGAATCTGATTGAGATGCTGTGGCACGACCTTAAAAAGGCAGTTCCTGCTCCAGTATGGTTGAATTACAACAATTTCGCAAAGATTAGTGGGCCAAAATCCTTCTATAGCACTGTAAAAGTCTCATTGCCAATTACTGCAAACACTTGATGCAGTTGTTGCTACTAAGGGTGGCCCAACCAGTTACTAGGTTTAGGGGACAATAACTTTTTCACACAGGCCCATGTAGATTTGGTTTCGCTCCCTAATAATAAACACCTTCTTTTAGAAACTGCATTTTGTGTTTACTCATGTAATCTTTGTCTAATATTTAAATGTTTCAAGATCTGAAACATGACAAAAAATATTAAATCAGGAAGGGGGAAACACTTTTGACACCACTGTAGGTATACAGACTAAATTTGATTTAAAAAGGGTAGAAAAGTTTGTTGACATTATTTTAAAATATTATTTAAAAAAAAAAGATTTTTCCTCCCTGTAATCATACTGATCCATTCCATAGATTCTCAAACTGTGTCAATAGTGGTTGCTATAGCAGTGCAACATCCCACTGAAACCAGCAACTGGTGGCAGCGCAATGTTGCTGAAGAGGGAATGGGTGCAAATGCAGAACAGAAATGAGCTATAAGAGAAAGTTTAAAACACCTGTGACTACAGTACAATTCAAGAACTAGGGTAGTAAGTAGGGTAACATTCTGACCTCTTAAATGCAAGATTTTATCTGCTTCTTTTAGAGCAGTTGGCTTTTAACTGACTGTCGTTATTACAAAGTGCAAGTAAAACTTTCACCAAAAATTCAGCTTTGTATGCTGGTGTATATCTAACACTTTTCACATTTCTGGCTCTTGTGGCAACACATCTTAGATTTTTAAAACATCTGTCAAAATAAAGAATCTTCAGAAGTAGTCAATTTTCTTGGTTTTATCACATTCAAAGGAGGAACTGGTTCCAGTTGTGTTAACTTCTGCTTTCTGGTTTTTTTCCATGTATAGTTTCAGTTGCTTTGCTCGTGTTGTTTACTTGTTCTGCTGGTTGTATTGTGTTTTCCTTATGGCTTGCTTCACTTACCACCCTTTGTTTTTAAAAAAAAATCCCCCCTCCCCCCCTTTCCCCTAGCATAGTGGGCCCTTCTCTGTATGAAGTTTGACTGTGGCTGCGTAGGTTCTCACCAAGTACTCTGGTTTCCTCCCACAGTCCAAAAATGCGTGGGTTGGGCTTTATGATTCTAAATTGTCTGTATATATAAATGTAAGACTCTGTGTCAGACTGGCAGTCTGTCCAGGATGTACCCAGCCTCTGCCTTGTGATAGCCTCATCCCCCTACAACCCTGAACTCGTTAAGTAGAAGAAACTTGATGGACAGAAATAATTATGCCCGCTACTGACTGGAATTTATTTATATTTCACATGTATTGTAGTTTATTTTGCAACCTGCACATAGTGCTTATTTTTTTTAATAGAAATATCTAATATGTGGTAATAAAGATATTTGTCAGCACTGCATTTTTTTCATCTCATTTATTTAAAGTGATTAAAAGAGATTTGGGTTAGACAATAAATCGTGCCTTAACGGGAACTAGGAAAAATAAATAATCTTGAAACATTAAAATAAATACTTTTAATTGACTATTAAAGATTGACGTCATGGCCATATACACAGATCAGTTGGTCAGAAGGTGACCTCAAACGCATTACTCCATACTGAACAAACATAAACCGCGCTTTAGGACGGAGTTTATTGCACAGTGGAGGCTATTTACGTGTCAAGTTCAAAGGCAAACAAACAGCATGCCTCAAGTGTGCGCAAAAGCACATATTCCTCCCACATACACTTGTCATTTTCCATGCTTTCAGGCGCTTGAACTGAGTTGGTCTCATTAACTTTCGGCTCCCGCCAAAATGAGGGGGAGGTATCTTAATTGCACATCATTAATTAAGCTGAATCATAAGAGTCTAACGGGTGGTCTGCTTATTAAAGTCCACCAAAAGGTTCAATGCATTTAGTTGATTAGTTTGAAGACTGGAAACTCTTTCTAAACACAAATACGAAGCCGTGATAGTTCAGACACAATCAAAAAGCTCTATCAGTGAAGTTGTTTACCAGAAGCACCATCTGTCTCTCCGGGATACCGGTTTTACATGGCGCCGAATAATCTCGCGATAAATACTCGGAGGGCAGTTGTACTCACGAGATTGTCGTTTCGCGCGCTGATGATAAGCTCCAGTCACATTCCAGATTGACAGCTCTGTTACCCAATGGACACGATGTGGTTAGAGGAAAGTAGCCAATGGTGAACCTGAAGTGCGAGAGCAGGCGGGATATCAAAGTCTTGAAGAATAACTCATTGATCAATCTCCACCAAGGCATAGAATTGGTCGTGCCATCCCTTCTAAGGAGTTAATTGGGGAAAACGTGCACGTTTCCCCTCAAAAGTAAATTTCTTGTTTTTGCTTGGACGGACGAACAGGTAAAGTGAATTTCAGCGTTTTTTAATTACTTTTTAAAAATTGTTCTCATTGATATAGTCACCCAGTTGCTAGCAAACTGAGGTTAGCTAACTTGGCAAAGTACTACCTCCTTTCTTTTTGGCTTATTGCACCAAGTTACTCAACCAGTTAAGTGTAAACGTCAAAATTAGTCAAATCTGATAATCTTCGGGACAGTATTAGAGCTATTGACTGTACTCTGGCTTCCTTTTGCTAATATAGTATTTAAAAGCTCTGCAAAATAAATTGTAACGTGGTTTGCTTTAAGCAATGATATGGGTGGGCGATGAACTTGTGAACTTTTAACTTGTTATCCTTCGGAACGTCCACATAATCTGCAAAAAATGTGTAAACCGAGTTAGCTTTGCAACTTCGCTGCTTCTCTTTAAGAAAAACAAATAAGCTAACGTCGGGCTGTTTATTTTCCTGTGTGGCTGGATTGGTGTGGCGTGACGTGAATCTCATTTTCGTCAGCATCGTTTAAACGTATTAATTTGCGCAGGCAAAATGGTACCCCTTGGATGGGAACAAGTAGTTTGTTTTCGAGGTTTTGACTTATGTTTTGTTGACTGCGGCTGGTTTATTTCGAGCCAGCAGAGCGAACAGGATCTCAGCTGAGAGCGCTGAAGTAAACGCGCAACCCCCGCTTAGCTGGCCCCTTGCTGTTTTGTAACAACAAAGGACGACATATGCGGGTAAAAAGCCACTGTAGTATTATAATAATCGGTTTAAAAGTACATGCGAGTTGGTATTTAGGTATGTTTCATTGTCAGGGAGCGAAGGCACATTGTTGGCTAGCGCTCCCTCGCGTCCGGATGTGCTTTTAAAAGAACTGGGAGTGGCCTACAGCTCAGTTTCCCGCACTGTATTTAAATCAGCCCGTTCCCTCCCTTTTCTCATATTCTGTTGAAGTGACAGTGCTGACAGCAGTACAATGCACTGAGTAGGGAGGGGAGACGGTCATATTTCTGCTGCTGGAGACCGTTTCGTCTTAACTTGTTGTGATCACTAAACAAAAACAGCCAATCCTAGGGATGGATTTTGCAGATGTAGTGTTTTGACAATCTTCCACGCAGAGCTTTTTACGATGCAAATTCGGAATCACTGCAACTTTCTCAGTTAGATGAGAATTTGATTATCATATAAACTCGTGAAAAGAAATATTCAGCAATGCGAAAGCAAACAAAAACGTAACATACAGTAAGAAAATCAATTAATATTTAGAAATAATTATGAAACAAATTTTTATATGACTTGCGTAATCTAAAGCACAAGTGATACTGCATATATATATATATATATATATATATATATGT